CCCTATCCGTAAATATATAATACCGTGAAGGACCATATTGTAATTTACGCGAAAGTCTTTAGACTGTTACTTCACTTCACTCTCTACTTGTTTAATAGATTTGACAATTTGATTTGACCATCAGAAAAAAATGGCTTCTTCCTCTTCGCCGCCGTCGTCTTCGTCTTTACCTCCGGTGATGGAAGACGGAGAATTTAGAGACTGGGCGGATATTCCGCCGGAATTAACTTCATCGATCCTGCTCCGGCTTGGCACGATCGAGATAGTGGAAAACGCTCAGAAAGTGTGTAAATCGTGGCGTCGCGTCTGTAAAGACCCTTCGATGTGGAAGAAAATCGACATGCATAATCTCGGAGATTTGGGAAGCATGAACTACGACCTAGAGATCATGTGTCGTCACGCAGTTGATCGCAGTCAGGGAGGCTTGATTAAGATCGATGTTTGGTACTTTGGTACTGATCATCTCCTCAATTACATCGCCGAGAGGTTCTGTCTCTCTCTTCCTGTGACTCAAAATCTTGGGTTGAATTTGGTTCCACTCCACTGTATGGGTCTAGGGTTAGAACAGATCTTGGTCACTCTATTGCTTGTTGTTCCTATTTTCCTTTTCCTTGTGAGAATTGGGGAAATTATTATTAGCTTATGATTGTATTTTTGAAGATATTGTGTCACTCTTTATAGCGCTGTCTCTTTACTTGGGAATATGTATGCAAGTAAGAAGTCAATTTGTTAAATCAGCAGTGTTGGTAATGAAGTGTTTCAATAGTATTGAGTGTTTTGTCTAATGAAGTGTTTTACACTATTTGCAGTTGTGAAATTTCCATTGCTTGAAGACCTTGAGGTTTCATACTGCTCATGTTCAGGAGAGACTTTGAAAGTTGTAGGCCGGTCCTGTTTAAATCTCAAGACATTGAAGCTAAATCGTGTTGGTTGCAAGAGTCCTCGCATTGAATGTGATGATGATGCTTTAGCAATCGCTGAAACAATGCTCGGACTTCGTCACCTTCAGCTTTTCGGGAACAGATTAACAGACACCGGGTTAATGGCCATTCTTGACAATTGTCCTAACTTGGAACACCTTGATTTACGCCAGTGTTTCAACGTTAACCTTGTTGGGGATTTGGGGAAGCGGTGTTCCGAGAGGATCAAAGTTGTGAGACGCCCTAACGACTCGACTCATGGCTACCCATATGACGCAACGGCTATCGACATGGATTCATCTGATAGTGACCACCGTTTTTTCTTTGATAACATTGGTTACTATTCTGATAGCAACAGTTCCAATGACCTCCCAGGTGATAGTGACTATAATGATTATGACCATTATGATTATGGCCATTATGATCATGACCCTTGGGATCATGACCATTACGATCATGACATCTGTGGCTAGTACGATAGTTAATCTGCTTTTCTAGATGAATCGGATTCGCAGGTGAAATTTCTTCGAGCTCGGTCATGAACTCTTTTCACCATGCTTGTAGGTTCAATGCACTTTGTGTGTCCGTCTGTTATGTGATCTTAGTATTAATGTTTTTTGCTTTCTGTTGTTGTATAAGATCTTAAGTTTCAAGGCTTTTTGTCAACTGATGTGAATGTTTCATCTTCTTTTGACTATTAAGGTTTTTGGTTTATTCAACAACGACAAGCAAGCTTTGTGCTTATTCTGCATTGAGAATCTTTCAAAAAATTGCTTATGCTTGTTCTGTTCAAAACTCAGACACAACAAGAAATGCCAATATCAAAACTAAGATGTGTAACAAGGCTGTTTTCTCTCAGTAAGCAACCATCAAAACTATAGGTCGACGAATCTCTCCGAAAACTAATGCGGTTTTGGAACGAACCCATCAACTGCGAAATTTCTCGTGGCTGAAGGAATGGCCAAGCGCACACCATCTAGCTCTGGTTTTGCAATGACTTGGCATCCGAGTCGTGACCTGAAACATGTTTCCAGGAACATATGATACTTTCTCATAAAGTACACAGATGAAACTTTTTGTTTGTTTTTTGGTTTAAGAGTAAGAGAGAAAGTTTACGTTTCAGTAAGCCCGAAAGCAAGATCAAGCATATCATTCTCTTCATCTGTTGGTTCTTCAAGTTTGTTATAGTATTCTGTGTCCTGTAATACAATTTTAGTTATTTTATCAGCAAAGTCACTATTTCATGGAAAGCAGAGGATGATCTATTAATAATGGAGGAGTTATCTTTACCATCACGATCACGTGACACGTTGAACATGCTAGAGAAGCCTCACAAGCCCCTGTAGATAAGTAAAAGCAATCCATGAATTCTCAATTCGATAAAGGAATCTTGGAAACACTAGAACACACTCTTGGTTATAAGAAGAAGCATTGGAAACGGAAAAGAAAATGGAAGAAAAGTCTGTGCCTTCGAGGTCTATATCATTTTCATGAGCAGCTTCGAGCACAGACATTCCAATAGGGACTTTAACGGGAATTTCCTCTCCGTCTTTATCAACAAAGACAATGGTTATCCTGAAAAAACAATGTTTCGATAACATCAGGCTAAATATTTCAAATGCAAGAATTGAGAATTTACTGATTATAGTTTTGTATTTCTCCGACAAATTGTAAACTTACTTTTCAGTTTCTTCATCACCCTTCTCAGAGGAAGAAGTACAAAACTTGTGGTTCCTTAAGAACAAGGATTCTTGAGAAGTCCTAGTTTGCCTCTGTACCATTGGCTATTGAAAAGAAGAAACGAGAAAGATTCAACATCAATGTGGAAAATTAAAAGAGAAACCTATGAGTGCCAAATCCAGATTTGTACTAAATTCATCCAGATAATAACCATACATAAACCACCCAATTTCTCAGCTATGAAATGTTAAGCCTTTGAGCCAAAACCAAACACAGGACTTTTTCTATTGATTCCTCAATCAACTCTCATTAAGCAAGCATCATATAAAAGTCTATAACTGGACGCATCAGAACCGTTACTAACTGATCCATTCTAGCACTAAACAAGGATGATTTCATTCCTCTGCAACCATTTTACCCCACTCTTGAAGACTAAATTTCAGCAAGCTTCTACCTAGCCGGATAGTAAGAGTGATCTCTAACAAAGAACCATGATTGTAAGTTTTAATTGGAGTGGTCACAAAATTACACAATTATGTCGCAAATCAAATCGCAAATGGAAGTTTCAAATGTAAACTGAGTATAAATATCGAGCTCAGACTAACCGAAGATCGCAAGTACTGGCCATAAGACCGTTGTAAGTTCCTTGTCCCGTATGCTGATAGATATCCCTCTGCCCAAAACAAGAAATATAAAGAAGCTCAAAATCTTAAGGCAGCATTGTGTAGGGGGGTAAATCAAGCAGACAATGTGTGAGCTTTTCTGTCATGTAATGCC